CTTAGATAGTTTTAGAAATGTAGTTTAGAGACAATGTAGGTATTGTTTGTTGGCTTAAACGAACGATCAGGATTTCAAAAAACTTATTTTCATGGGTAGGGGACGCCATTGTCGTGACTGTTGGAGTTGCAAGAAGTTCTGGAGCTACATCTACGGAACAAATTAACGTTAGGGCAATTTTGTAGATGTAGCTCCGGAACAAATCAAACTTTCTGAAGTCTGGGTTCTTCCGTATACATATACAGAAGTTTTCCGTGTGTTCACATCCGGAAGTAAAAAAATGTTAATTTCTTTTTCTTTTTTGTTTTTTAATTTATTTGAATCTAATTGTTTTTTCTTTGTTATATCTTGCAGACATTATGGCAGACAGAGGAGATAAATTATGACTTGGACGGGTTTTCACAGCATGCATCTGTGAGACGCGAGCAGAGCCAGACCACCGTTACCGAGGTCGATACAATTGAGGCCCATCTTTCTTCATCACATGCCCAGGACATTCCCTCGACCTCGTATCCCACCCACATCATCCAATTTATCCCGGAGGGGTCGAGATTCAATTGAGGGTTCACCACAGGCCTCGTCCTCTCGTAGGCCTCGTCGGGATACTCTTGGTCCTCGTCCTCTCGTAGGCCTCGTCGGGATACTCTTGGTCCTCCTCCTACCGATGATCTGGTGCCACCTCCAGAGGGTGATGAGCCACCACTGGAGGATGTTGGTGATGACGACAATGATGAGCCTAGGGGTTTCCCAAGAGGTCCCTCATATATGTCCCTGCTGACAGGGTACCCTGACCATACTGCCAGACATGTCTAGGATGGAAAGGTAACATTACTCATATTGTCTCTTTTTTTTCATTGGAAATTTATAATTTGTACCATTGTTTCTTATTTGTGGAAATTTTCAGACCCGTCGGCCGCAGAAGTTCTATAACCACGAGCAGAAGATATTATCTTTGGAGCAGTCACAAAAGGCTTAGTTCCAGAATGTCCTTGTCGCCTCTGATTTGAAGGACCTTTGTGAGATCGATTACAGCGTAATCCACAACGAGATGTTGATGGGCTTTGCGGAGAGATGGCACCCTGAGACGTCCTTCTTCCATCTACCGCATGATGAGCTCACGATCACACTGGACGACATCTTTTATCTGCTACATATACCGATCAGGGGTATCCTCCTCCGTCACGGTAGGATGGCGAAGGAGAATGTGAGAGAGAGAGAGAGAGATGTTGGTTGAGGCGCTTGGGGTTGATCCACTGGATGCGATTGAGGAGGTGGATAAGACCAGAAGGGCTCATGTGAGGTTCTCCTTTCTCACGCGTAGATTTGGTGAGGCGTTCGCTGCTGCACGCCAGACAGATGGTAATCTAGCTAAGGTTGAGATACACAGGCAGCGTCTGCTGAGATGTTATTTTCTATTTTTAGTCGGCACTCAGCTGTTTGTGGACACTTCTTCCACATATACGGATATCGCTTACCTGAGGTACTTTCTGGATTCCACACGGGTCCATGAGTACAACTGGGGGTAGCTACCTGGCTTACACGTATTCGAGGCTGGGAGAGGGATGCTTGTGGAAGACCGGGATTGTGGCAGGGAGCGTAGCACTACTTGTGATAACAATCTTATATCCTTCGACTTTTTTTCATTTCTTTTCATTCTATATTCGTGATAATGCTTGATCTTGATGTTTTTTATTTTCATTTCAGGCTTGGATATTCCAGCATTTTCTCATGATCTCCGAGTGGGGGAGTGTGTATGATTACACAGAGCTGATGTTGCGTGTCCGTGCTTTTCTCCCGCTCAAGGGGAACCAGACAGTAAACCCTTACATAGTTTATCTCAATTGCCTGGCTACTGAGGACATCTAGTACGACGTTTATCCTGATCACTGTGTGACGACATCTCCCTATTCTTAGGATGGTTGGCATGCAGTTCGACCATCATTGTTCAATATTTGCCCGAGTGCGTCATGCGACAGTTCGGCTACACTTAGACCATTTCCAAACACCAAGTTATCTTCGCTCATCTCGGCTTAACCCGTATGTAGATAGAAGATATATATGCCGACTACCAGAGGCACATGGTACGTGACGAGGCTAGGGCGACCAGAGCGCCGACAGACTGGAGTTGCGTTGATGGCTACATCATGTGGTTCTTCACCGTCTCACACCCCTACATGGTGCCCACTCTCGAAGGATCACCGCCAAGACAAGCTCATCAAGAGATCTTAGAGGAGCAACAGTCTCAGTTGGACCACACTCAGAATGTCCTGCCTCGCTGTCGTCAGATAGTGGAGATGCATTGACAGTGGTTTCTTCCCTAAGGGGTCTGACCACAGGCGTGTATTGGATGACATGATTATGGTGGCAGCAAGGGCACTTATGTACCGCAGACATCGTGTCAGAACGGATGGAATCAACGGCCGAGGACGCAGACCGAGTGGTCGATGAGGCGGGAAAGGCAGACGAGACGGCAGAGACATAGGCGGAGGAAGGCATGCAGATGTTGTCAGACACACACAGTAGTGATTGTGGTGTTTTGATGTATTATTTATATATATATTATTTACTTTACGGATGTATGTCATTTTATATTCATCTGTAACAGTTAATTTTCATCTGCGATCAACAAAACTTAATTTTTTTTTTAAAAAAACCCTATTCTTATAAGATTTCGGAGATGCATTTACGAAACTCTTTTCGTAAATGTGTCTCCGGAAGCATCCAACAAAGAAGAAAAAAGGGTACATCCAAATATGTATCTCCAAAAACAAGCATAAAAAGAATTTCGCTGAGTGTCTAAGAGTAATGACGGGTAGATTAAAAAACTATCTTAATTTATTATGAATTTTGGCCCAGCAATGTCAATTGGTGGCATAGTAACATCAAAATATCTTTATTGCTATAGAATTGTAAGAAAAACTTTTAACGAAAATATAGTATAAACGAGTTATACCATCCAATTGGGAAACAACCAGTGTCTTCATCCCAATATTTCAGATGTTGTCAGACACACACAGTAGTGATTGTGGTGTTTTGATATATATATATATATATATATATATATGTATATATATATATATATATATATATATATATATATATATATATATATATATATATATATATATATATATATATATATATATTATTTACTTTACGGATATATGTCATTTTATATTCATCTGTAACAGTTAATTTTCATCTGCGATCAACAAAACTTGATTTTTTTTTTAAAAAAACCTATTAAGTGTCTAAGAGTAATGACGGGTAGATTAAAAAATTATCTTAATTTATTATGAATTTTGGCCCAGCAATGTCAATTGGTGGCATAGTAACATCAAAATATCTTTATTGCTATAGAATTGTAAGAAAAACTTTTAACGAAAATATAGTATAAACGAGTTATACCATCCAATTGGGAAACAACTAGTGTCTTCATCCCAATATTTCACATTTGTCGATCTGATTGGTCTTTGTTTTCTTCCTTATTAGTGAGGAAGTTGTTTAGATCCAAGTCTGAGTGATTAAATATCCGTCTCCTAAAAATAAATTGAAAATGTCCCCTTAACTTAAAATTTTGGGTGAATTATATGGATTGGCAAGATTTCCTGGATCCTAAATGTTGAGCACATTAGCACGCTACACAGACTCCTCAACAAATAATCTCGGAGATTAGGTGAGAGAACGAGACCAAACCCTAACCTTGATCCTAGTATATATCAAGACCAATGAAAGATTGTTGGAATAATGTCTAGTAGTTTAACTATTGTAAGTCATACTTCAAATAATTTATATCTTCAGGAACATATCTACAAAAATTGGACACAACCAATTCACTATCTATACAATTATTACACAATAGCCAATGCTATTATAACCCTATAACACAACAAATTGATAGTCTCACATGGCTGAGTGATGAATTTCTATTGGATTACGGTATAAAACTATTTTACACAAACACTACATAATCATTAAACTCAAAAACATAAACCAAATTAGAGCAAACTTTTGAATAAATTCTTTTCCCAATTTACAATTGACAACACCAGATCAGATCAGTTTGTCCAAGAGTACAAAACCAAACCAATCCACACTATTCACCTTAGGTTGGGTTTCGTTTTTCCTAGCCAATCAATAATTAAAAATTACAATAGAATAAATCAAAATATTAAAAGAGTGTCATCTCAGCTTTTAACAAGGTGAGTTTATATAAACACTTGCAGGGGGCACAACAATTGCTCCACAGCAGTACCAATTACCAACCTTAACTACATTTATAAAGTTTTAAAGTCTTCTTAAATCGTTGTTTTTACTAAACTTAGTAGTAGATTTAGATTTTTATATTACTTTCATGTATGTAAAATAGCAAGGGCATGGAAAACTAGCAAAATCAGAAAAACTCCTTTTTCTGAATACATCAACCAGCACCAAAATGTCACAGATCATTGACAAAAAAAAACATTAAATAACTAAATATAAACTAAAACAAAAAAACAAAAAAACAGATAAATCATATTGTATAACTATATAACCATGAATCATATACGATTCAGATGAACATTACTAATTGAACAACTTGACAACAGAATATTGACAAATGTCAATATCCTCCAATATAGCAAGGCAAACAAACATTTCAATTTCAATTTTACATTCTATCTAAGTACTGTTTATTGAATCCAAACATCCAACGCAACTATAACACAATAGACTTGTAATCAGTAGTACACCAAAAACCTAGTAACTGCAGTTAATAAGAGCATTGCTCCAACACACAACGGTTTTAATCCTCATAAAACAAGCAACTACAACCAAACCAGTATGCCAACTTTGACATAAATAAAATTTAACAGGCTTCAAAAACAAAAGCCATAGAAGCATCATTATTTTATGACTGAACAAAATTGAAGCATATTTGTGAGTAAAAGACTTGTAAATCTAACCTCTACAACATTCCATTCAAATTCACCTTCCTCTGGTTACCTATCAGAGAAAAATCACCTCCGTTTTGAGCAGTACACATAGATCAAAGCTGCTGCCCCAAAAACAGCCACTGTAGATCCCGCTCCTGCTGCTACAATCGGCCACTGCAACTTAACTTCATTCCTTTCACGCTGTATCCCATTTAAATCTCTATCAACTATCTCAACAGCTTTTTCATTCAGTGCTCTGATCTTCTTCTCGGTTTCCACTGCTTCCTCACGCAATTGAATAATATTCAATTCAAAACCCTTTGCTTTCTCCTCAGATTCTTTGAGCGCCTTCTGCAAACTCAGTTTCTCCTTTGACCAGTCCCCTGACTCATGTTTCTTCTCACCAGCAACCTTCTCCAATTCCTCAACCTTGTTTCTAAAACCCTCAATTTCCTTATCCTTCTCACCAATCGTATCCCTCAACTCCTCTTCAACCCTAATCCTCTTATTCCTCTCCTCGATTTCCTTCATCTCAAGAACACCAATTCTCTTCTCTAAATCCCTCAACCTCACCTCACTCTCCGCTTTCACCTTCTTCAACCCCTCCACTTCCTTTACCAAATCTTCAACCCTAGACTCCTTCTCTTTCAAAACCGCCTTCAATTCATCACACTCCTTCTTCAATTCTTCCCCAGCACTCAAATCCGAAACCATATCATGCTGAAGCCTAGCCACTTGAGTCTCAAGCTCCGCCGCCCTAGCCGCAATAGCCTCCGTAGCCTTCACATCATCCTGCGACCTCTCCACTTCAGCCTGCAACTCATCAATCTTCTCCCTCATTTCCTCACCCTTGCTCCTCACTTCATCAATTTCCACCGTCAACTTCTTGATTTGCTCCTTCTTCTCATTGTTCTCACTCACCAGTTTGTCTCTCTCACGCTCCAACACAGAGATTTTCGTCACAGATTGCTCCTCATGCTGATCGTTGATGCCGTTGGAAACACCATCATCTGCCATCGTTAATTCTGCAAAAATCAAAATCCCTAAATCAGCCATAAATACACAAATCAACCGAAAACCCACAAATCGGAATCAAAATCGAAAATCTAGTGCTTAGTTTAAGTGCGAACAAAATTAAAAACTAGAAACTAAATAAATAAACTCTAAACTACTTATCAACGAATCAAAATCTGTAAATCAACCGAAAATCAACAAATCGGAATCAAAATCGGAAATCTAGTCATAGTTTAACTGCGAACTGAATTGAAATTTTGAAACGAAATAAACCAATTCTAAACTATTTTTCAACGATTCAGGAATGATTACACAAAGTTCTCAAGTATCAAATAAATAAATTTCTATGTTAAAATCAGTAAATAAGCAGAGGGATTAAAAGTAGTAAGGATCGAGAGAAACCGTGATGCGTAGTTCAGAGAAATTTGGAGAAGAAATTTCGCAGGAAAATTGGTGGATTTTCTTTCTGGGAAAGTGATAGAGTAATGAGAACCTTAGTTTATGAAAGGCGTAGAAATAAGAAGGATTAGGGTTTTGAGTATGCGCGTGGAAAAGATTTTAACTTTATATTGTTTTTTTTCATTTTATGGAAATTACCGTTTTTAATATTTGCTTTTTCAGAAAGAAAAAAAAAGTGAAATTTTAGAAAGAGGAAATGAACCAGGCAACGGTTCGGATTCGAAATGCTATTCTTCCCGAATAGTTGTGTCGTTTTCCAACGGGCATGAGACTCTGAGTTGATAGGTAAAGGTATTATTCCCTTTTAATTTACCGTTTTGGAAACTCTTCATTTTTAAAGAAAAATGAATATTTCATCAATATGAAGGAAAAAAAATAGAAAAGACATTTATATTATTCCGTCGTTGAACCACAAATGTTGATGATCGTAGAAATCATGCTCGAACGAAATTTCAAATGCATTATATGATGTAATATTATAGATCAGACGTTGTAATCACGGTGTTTCTTGAATCAGTAGTGTTGGTGTTGAAGCAATGTTGTTAACGATGTCGTCCTCTTTGATGCGATGGACTTAGAGGGTACCTGTATGGTTAGCATTCCAACGTCCAAATCAGTTTATTTTTCAAGATTAAAGGTAGTGAAAATGGATATTGGAGATTGTGTATCTGTAAACCTCTTACAAAGGTATTTATACCTTGGGTCGATTGAAGTAGGTTAGACAACGGGCATCGAGCTATTGGGCCTTTCGCCAGCCAAGATTAATGGATTTGAGCTTTTGATCGGCGTGGACTAGAGGGTCTCCGATCTTGGTCGGCACAGATCGGTGGGTCATGGGTCTTTGCTTGGCACAGAACAGTTGCCCCTAAAATTCGTTAGGCATGTTAGATGTCGGGGGAGTCTTTCAGTAGTCATAATGGGTCCTTCAAGATGTTTGGTTTTTTTCAAAGCGTGATGCAAAATTGAGCATTAAATGTGGTCTCATTATTGAAACATTTTGTTGTTTCTTCCTTGACGTGAGACCTGAAATGTACGGGGTGACGTGACACAATTTTCTGCGCACTTAAGTACGATTGTTTTCCCCAAATGAAATTTGGTCATTGATCTATCATCATTTCTTGCTTTCAATTCGATCCATTTGATTACCTTTGTGTATATAAAGATGGAAAGAGATCGTGGAGAAACTTTTTAGCCCTTTTATAGATTGAGTTTCTCTTGTCTCTTTGAGTTTTTTCCTCTTGGTTGAGAGCACTTACTTCCCAAAGCAACCCCTATCGCATGTTCACAAGTTTGAAGTGTTAAAGCCTTTGTTTCTTCATCTTCGAAAACAGGAATGGAGTCTGAGTTGCATTTCTTCCCCTCGATCAGTGGGTGTTCTGAATCAGAGATCATCATTTTGAGTGGTGATTTAGAGATGGAGGGGTGGCTCAGAGAATCTCTGTTGGATAAAGTTATCTCCACGAGTACTCCATAATTTTTGTTCCTTGTGAAATTCGATGGGGTGAAAACCTTGTTAGGAGGCCAATGTCTCCCCCCTATTTTGACTGAGGCAGAAATAGAGGTTACTCATCAAAGGAGAGAACATGCCATCCGCTTTATTCAGACGTACCAGGAATCATCGATCATGACCCTAGCAACGTAGAGATTGTTTGTCACCTAGAGTGTGAAGGGAAGCATGATGTCGTGTCTTTGGGTCAATCCTAGTGATCATCATAGAGTTGGCGTATTGGCCCGTATGGGTCTTTGATTAGTAGATTTGGCCAATGCAAATAGATATCATTAGGTGACCGCTGAAATAGTTAGGACTCCTTATGTCCTGAATACTGCCAAAGCTATAACTCAGGCCGACATTACAGTTGGTGACTCCCCGAATTGGACGATTCTAGTGGTAGGTTCGGATGAGAGGGTGTATAGTTCTTTTAAAGGTTGCTCGGTTCCCTGTAAGAGTGTCTGTTTACCAGTTTATGGTTGTGTATGCCTTTCTCTGATTTTGAGGCGGTCGTGTTGAACCACTTAAAAGTAGTCCCCCCGCAACTTCATCTTGGAGCATGTGCCTTCATATTGATGTTCCAGCTTTGCATCGAGTATAAGTCTTGGAAGTCTTTGTTGGATCTCTTTTTTGACCTCTTCTATGTGGCTCGTACTTTACTAGATGGTGACCAAGATCAAGGATTAACCTCTCTTCGTCCTTAAGTACCTTGGTTCTTTTTTTTTCTTTTGATTAGGGAAAATTTCTAGAGCGTTTCATATTAGTAAAACCCGTGATTCCCGAGGCGCATATAGTCTTCTGCTTGTCTTCAGATTTGGTGGGAGATGACTGCTCTTGCAGAAGTGGATTTATGAAATATTGGTCCATAGTTCATTTTCACCTGCGTATCTCTTCTTATCACTTCAGGTTTGTTACACCTTAAAACCACAAGATTCTTATTTAATTAAAATTCTTGAAAATAAAACATTTTTAAGCACCAAGGGTGTCACACATCTCTTTAACACAAACATACTTCTCAAAATTTTTTCAAAAATACGTAGAGGATAATATCAAATAGGTTCAAATTAATAAATCCAAACAGATAATTTAAGACTCGAGCATGAGGGAAACAATCCCATGAATCTCAAAAAAATAAAACACAAATGAAAACAAATTTGGTCCCAATGTTACATATCAAAGTGACATCGTGGAACTAAACAAAGCTCGAAAATGTAAATAAAGAAGAAGGTAATATGTGTCAATCCCTAACTCGCAGTTAGGGCTGGCAATGAACTGAACCAACTCAAAAATAGTTCGTAACTCGATTCGATAATTAAATCGTTGAACTAGGTTCATGAATCAAATTAGTTGAGTATGAGCGAAAAATTAAGTTCGTTAACTAAATGAGTTGAACTTGAACTATACATAGTTCGACTCGTTAGGTTCATGAGTCAACTCGATTACATATGAGAAGAATTATACTGTCTTTAAGATTAGGTTTAAATATTTACTCCAAATCTTAGACAAATTTAATCTTTAATTTAGTAGTTTTTGAATTAGACTCTCAAATGTATCTCTTGAAAGTTGTGTAGGTTTTGAATTAGTAGATTTCGAAGATAAAGTTAAATTTCAATATGATAAATTTTATTTTATTTTAATAATTTATTTTTAAAAAATATATTTATTTAAAATGTGAAATATACTAAAAAATATATATATTAAAAAAAATAGTTTTTAAGTTCGTGAATCATGTGAGCTGAACCTAACGAGTCGAGTCAAACTGTTCGTGAACTTCTAACGAGTCGAATTTGAGCTTAAAAAAGAGTTTGTGTCGAACTCGAACCCGAACTCGAACCAATTCTTAACGAGTCGAGTTGAGCTGAGGTGAGTTTGACTCGACTCGACTCATTTCCAGCCCTACTCGCAGTTACTGCCCGCTACCTATATCTGCAGCATATGCATAACAAGTTACGCAACAACAGAGAAAAGGTGAGAATAACTTTACAGAAGTTATTAGTGTATTAGTTAGCAAGGATAAAATACATAGACATAACATAATCATACACACACTACAACAACAAATCACCATGTAAATGTATTAATGAAATATACTCCTCCTCCAAAAATGCATGTGGTACCAAAGGTTTGAATGTCCGAGTTATTTTACAAAATTATCCATGTCTTCAATTCCTCTTTGAAAATTATTCTCTCTGAACAATGACACTGTCATTTGCTCTCTCTAAGCACTGGAACTATTCAGACCAAAGTCCTATCTATCTTTGATATACATGAATGCATGAACATATAATTTTAATTATAACTCATAATCAATCAACAAATGACATCTCGTATCTCGTATCAACAGTGTCCTCTCTATAACCACAATTAGCCAACATAAGGCTAATACTTTAATTATGTATGAATTACACAACTCAACAATATAATTAAATCTCAATAATTATATTAAAAATAAAAGATTAAAATTATATTATTACTCAGTTACTCAAAACACACAACAACTCAATTTTCCTCATCGTCTCATAAAATTACTCAAATACATATCGATAGAGTAATAGTCCTCAAAGGAACTCTAAACAACTCTACAACAATCTCTGCAACTCTATAACAACTCTAAAGTATTCTGAAGTACTCTAAAGTGTTCGCACGACAACCCTTGGATATAAAGATAACTCTCATGAACTTTTTTGGATGGCGGGCTGACTCAAATAAAATACAATGAATCTAATGTCATAATTGACTCTCAAACTTATCAAAGAGTAACTGATCTTGACGGCTGATCAGAACTTGAAGTAGGCCAGAGACTTTTTCGGTGATGCTGGGTTGCAAGGATGATGAGGGGTGTACCTGTAAGGCACTCCGATGTTAAAGTAAGAATCGGGGGGAGAGAAGGCAAGTACAAAGAGTGTATGTCTTAAGGTGATTTGGAATGATTTAGAATACCTAACCTTCTCAAGTGAGGGGGTTTTTATAATGCCCCTAATGCTTGGCCATCGGTCCCTATTTTTGGGGCGACATATTCGCTCCCAAATAATAGGTATCTGTTAGAAACTAGTCG